CCTGGAAGTCTGTTCATGTTGACACCTTGAGCTGACAGGCCAATCCCCATGTACCTGGTCACAAAAAAAAACAGCATTTATTTGATGTAAAAGTCTGTATTAGAGGAAGTTAAAATTGCTCACCCTAAAAATGTAAGGTACACTCAGTAACTTTGTCCTAATTACAATCGTTTTATCCCTAAGGAAATGAACAGTATGATTGAAAAATGTTGAAAGTCATACTTATGTGAGACTGAATCTGTTATTTTAGTATCATTTTATTAATACTTTCTATTTAATATTTATATAAAATGTTCATTTTTTTATTTTTTTTACATTTTCATTATAATGTAGTTAGTTTTAGTAATTTTGAAGTTTTTTTATTTTATTAGTTTCTATCTTTTTAAATATCTATTTTTTCCAGTTTTAATTAGTTCATACATCAAGTTAAACGACATGAGAAATGTTGGGAACTTTGGCAACTAGCTGATATAAAAAAAGTTTAATTTCATTTAAGTCAACTATAATAACCCTGGACTGAATAAAACCTGTTTTATTTTACATGGTGCAGGTCACCTCATGAGGGCTGCCATGTTGAGATCACATGACCAGAACGACCATACTAATTTTATCTCGGTAAACCTCTCATTATCTGACATTTTCACTCACAGAATAAATTAATCATGGCTGACTTCTAATAGAGCATTTCTACAAAGGAATTATTAAATGAAGACTTTTGCATAATGCTAAATCCACGCCAATAGGTGCCAATATAAATCCAAGACTACTGTTATATAGCCCATTGCCACATCAACAAAAATGACTGAGTGCACATTTAAACATTTCCCAGCAAAAAGTGATCTCAAAATACTGAATCCTTTACATACCCATCTCGTCCTTTGCTGATAATTTTCACCTCAAAGTAATAGACCCCGCAAGCAGCTGGAATAGGGTGTGTTGCACGGACAGATGCCGCATCTTTCGGGGTCTTTCCATGACCTGGATGACAAACACAATAATTTACAACTGCAAGTGGATGGTGTCACTCACAAGGAGAACTGGAACATTTGTAATATTATAACATCGCCAGAGGTCATCATGGCAAAAAAAAAAAAAAAAAAAGCAAAGTAATCAATGTTTTTGCTGTGAGAGCCGTATGCTTCAGGCTGATGATATTTTGCCTAGCAACAGCAAAGAAACTGCACAATTGCTTTTTTTTAATGTGAATATGGATTTCTCTATATTTGGGAATTTGCATTTATTATTGTCAATAATTGCCCCTTGAAATTGCCACCTCATTCACCCATACTTCAGTTGCTATTCATTTAAATAAATTCTCAAACAAACATGGAAGTTAATTCTAAAACCTAGTTGTAAATAATGCTCAAAATAAAACATGAACACAACAAAATAATTGTATGATATACTATATATAGCCTATCTCTCTAATGCCATTAAGGAAGCTTTTGATGTTTTGGAGTGTTTTCATCAAAACCACTTCATATTAGCTGCAATATTTAACAACACTCACCTCTAAGACAGCAAATAAATATATTTAAAAGCTATAGGTCCCTAAAGTGTCTGAATTAGAATTAGAGGTTTACTTGATTATCCATACATCATTTTTTTCAGAATAATCATGTTAAAATGTATGAATCAAATATGAACCAACATTTTTGGGGGAATTTTACTTGTACTGTACATCTCTCAATCCTCTTTGTACTGCATTTCATTACCTGTTTGCCCCCTCTACAGACTGAGTATTAATCATAAAACTAAGCATTTAAATATCATCTTATAAAGACATATTCCTGGGTCATATAGTACTATGACAACTGATATTTATAATAATTTTATGCAAGTAGTCTGCTATACTGTTATAAAAAAGTCTCATTGATTTACGTTACAAGCTATCAGAATTTCTTATGTTTTGGAACAAGTTAGCATTTTACTTTCTGGCCATATAAATAATAACATCTGCAACAAACTGCATATTTTTGATCAGTTTGGGCCTCTGAATAAAAAGTGTGTGTGAGCTCTGAATTCTCACAATATCATACTATAGCTATGGGCCATAAAAATCCTAATGTATCAAATATAATACAAAACGCATGCAAAAATGTTTTATTTTATTTTACGTTTTGTCTAAAGATTCACTTAACTTCCATTTACAAAATATTTTATTATGATTATTATTTCATATATCAGGCTTATTTCATGTCAATATGGGGCATTTTTGTCACTTGTAGTAACATTTCAGTCTTGAACCCCTGATATTAAGATTCATAAGTTTATGTAGCTTGTGCATTTAAAACATCTTGGCCTACTGGTAATTTAAGGCAGTCTTCCTCCTGAAACCTACCTGTCGTCAACTCTGGCTGGCCTAATTAATTCTGTGGCCTACCTTTATGACTCAGCTGAGGGAAATGGCAGACACCTCACTGGATTACAAAAAAACGTATTTAATAACTAATTGTGTTAATATAATTATACATATATTACAGTTTTTCTTTATCTGATGAATTTCTTGTATACTCGCGATGACAGAAATCCTGCCTCTGCAGATAAAAACACACACACACACACACACACACACACACACAAAGGCCTTGCTCGAGCTTATGCGACAGGCTCGATCAGTACCTAACTTACATCATCAGCATGTGCGTATTAAGACATGGCCTTTTATAAACAGATCATGTTGTCAAAGGAGTTGACAATGACTACATTTCAGCAGCGAAACTCTATAGAGTAGGAGCTTCCGGAAATGACTGAAGCATCTTTATAGCTCGCTGCTGAAACTCACCACCATCTCATTGCTAATTACAATACACGAACTTTACACTTTCAAACTTAACACCTTAATCATTCATTTTCAAAGGCTATATGCCATATCTGTATACACACTGATGTGCATAAAACATCCTATAAAAGCAGTAGTTCGATTAATATACAATGCTGACTGCTCAGGAATGGTGCTAAATAATGCTAAAGGGAGGCTATTTTTATTCAAACATGTCGTCTAAGCAGTTAGTATTACCAAGCAAAGTTTCTTGTTAACACTCGTATAATTATATCGACTAAATGTGCTCGATGATCACTCAAGATCATCCCTATTTTGTAAATATTTTTACTAGCTTTTGTGAATAACAATGGGTTTGATTTGCACACAATACGAGTACGCAGAAGCTAATACAAGTGTCTTTTAATATTACCGATCAGATGTGAAACCTGACACGAGCTAACATGGCTAATCCCTTAAACATTTAGCTGGTAAACAACTTGGTGTTTGTGTTCATCTGCTGCTGTTAGCCTTGGTTACCTTTGTAATGCACCCGAAGGTTGTTTTGAGACAGGCCGATGTAGCTGAATTTGTCTTTGGGGCTCCAGGATCTGGGCAGCGGGGTCTCCTGCTCGTTTACGGCCGGGTAAAGGCGTCTAAGCCGCTGGTTGAGCTCTTTTTCCTGCTCATTGAGAGCCAAGTCTCCGTGAACGACAACCGACATCAGAAACCCACAGCCCGATGACGGTCCTGACATCGCGATCCGATTTCTGCCGTCGATGCCAACAGCTTGCCAGCTATCTTTAGCTGGACAGCTTTCTAACAGTGTCCAGTAGCTAAAGCGACCACTGTCAGACACCGCAGGAGAAGAGCCGCTGAGATTTCGGGGTAGTTTTATTCGGTTCTGACGCCTGGCTAGCCAGCCAGCTAACTGCGATTAGCCCGCAAACAGCCTCTCTGGTGCGAGTTAGCAAGACGCTAGAGAATTAATCACGCCAATACAGCGAAACGGCAGCTTACAAAAAACATAACAGACATCCAGAAAGTTGATCCTTGTTATTTAAGACGACATCCAGCCGATCGGACAGACTAAATTGGGTAAAAGGAGCAGAAAGACAGCAGCAGAAGGGAACCCCGATCTTTTGTTTGTTGTTAGTGTGAAATACAGCGTTCTGATTGGCTCTCTCAAGGTCCAGTCATACTTCCTCGAGGACTTGGTACATGACTAGACACAAGCTACCAATTACATGTCCTTCTTTCTCACTTGACTTGTTATCGACGATAGTTTAGATGGCTGTGACAATGAGAATATACGTACACTTACCAATTACAATGTTTCGTTTATTCAATAATTGTCACACAATGGGACAATGCAGTTGTGGTGCAGATTAGGACCCCCCACCCCTTACATCTCATTTTCAGGTTGGGACTTTTCAGTGACTTCCATTGAGCTAATGCAATTTAAAATCCCCTACCCATTAATCTAACCCTCACATATCCCTGCTTTATTATTTTAACTATAGCCTATGTGCCGCTAAACATAGGCTACATAACCTCACAACTTGATTTTCATTAAAACATCAGTTCTTCTTTATTTTACATAAAGTAGGCTACTTCATTGACCATACCACATGAATTAACAATTACATTTTTGTATTATTAATTTATTATTATTTTTTTATTATTATTTTTTACAGTCCAAAAGATTTGTGGTTAAACAGTGTCAGTGCATTTAGTCTAGTTGGGGCAGCATCAAAAGTTTTACAAAACAGAATATAAAATATATTTATATACAAAATATGTGACTAATAGTCTTTCCCAAACAAATGCATTTGTAAAAGTGGAATGTAATAATTTATCATGATCTGATGTTTTGATTTGACCAGTTTTTTGTGTGTTTTTTTTACACAGCTCACTATTAAAAGCTGCATCTGACGTCTTGGTCTTGCCATTGCCATTTGACTTGGGATGTAAAATACTTTATACCAACTGTATAAAGTGCATTCTCCAACATTCTTGTGATATACATTAATGTTCCATTCATACACTTGTCACAAATTGTAAAAACATATGCATGTTAGTTTCTTCATTCTTCAAATGCGTTTCTGTTCCAAATGAAAAATGGCAACATCAAACTAATTTACTATTAAAATATGTGGCCTACCCATGATTCAGTATATGATGTTATATTGCAAACACCCAAATGACTTGCATATTAAAAAAGTTATTATATGTTAATTATTTTTACAAAGAAAATGTACATCATTAAGCCTATAGAGTTATTGAACTGACCATTTCAGCCACTCCAGGAAAAGGCACATTCAACAATCATATACAGATATATCATATATGGTGAATATATTGTTGGTGTGCATACCAGTTTTAAGTATTGTAATATTACTTTGATTTCTATGATGCTAAATTAAATCTGTGGACTTTTATTGTTTGTATTTTCAGTTCACTGTAGCCTAAATTGTTTATCCATGAGCAGGAGAATTCAGTTTCCAAAAACCGACAGGACCATTAGCACATCCAATCTTCAAATATAACAGTTACACTTATTGCTTTGGTCATTATGGTGGCACACATTCCCAAAACTCACGACACAGGCATTGGCAAAGACCGTACACCATAACAATGAGAAGACTGACAGGTACCAGACTGACCATCAACACCCCTGTTGTGGTATGCTGCATGATAAGCAGGTAGACACCTAGAGGCAGCGAGCTGAAGTACAGCAGCCCCAGCAACCAGACCAGGACACGCGCTGAGGTCTGGCACAACAGGGCCGCACAGTTCCACACTGTCCATCTATTGGTAACGGAGGCCATTGAGTCCAGGCTAGAAGAGCGGTAATCCCTCCCCGGAGCTGGAATAGCAGACTCCTGCCGAGGCTCCATAATGGTGATCACCACGTAATTGGAACGAATCGAGGTGGGGGAAGCTGAAGCAGAGTGTCCCACCAGGGAGTTGAGGCATCTGGGACTGAGAAGAATCTCGCCTTGGGTTTCATTCGGGTGCGGATGTTTCCGTGCCTGGACGGATAGCAGCGCTGACACCAGGTTATACTCGTCTGGTAGACTATCCACAGCTTCTCTGGGAAGGTCCGTGATGTAGCGGCAGAATGGACAGACCACTGCGTTGGGAGAGGATTCGCCTAAATCGAGGATTTTTGCAAGGCACTTGGCACACAGACAATGGCAGCACTCGAGGACCTTGGGCCGTCGACTTGACAGGCTGTATGCACAGTAGCAGATCTTGCATTCCAGTTCCTCTGTGGTGAAGCAACCCTCCACATCCTCCGGGAGCTGTCCCATCATGTCTCCTTCCTCTCAACGTTTTCTCATCGGCTGGTTGTAATCAAAGCTGTGTGGGAACATGGTTGCGAGGCAGCTGCTGGGTCAGTCCTGGCGTCTGGATGGTGTCCTATGCAGAACGGGGCATTGCCTTCACTGTGCCACAGAGGCTCTGGACGGGTTTGTGCTGAGGAACCTTTCATGCACTGTGTGGAAGGGTGGGGAGAGGCCACTACCGAAAAGATAACTGTTAACACAGCAGTAGAGAACAAACACTGCAGCAACAAAGCAGGCCCTGTAAAACCAGGGCTGGAATTTTCTAGCCAGGTCTTTTGTTGCCACTGAAATTCAGTCCAATTAGTGGCTCCACACTTTCTGGTACACAGTGCTGATTTCGCTTGCTCAATGCAACACTATTCCAAAAAAAAAAAGGAAGATATTTGTTTCTGTAATTCTATTTCTGAAATTACTTTATGTTTAGAATAAACAAAAATATAAAACATTTTAAACTTATTTTAAACTTAAAATAAACTTTTAAACTTACCAGCCAGGTCAGCATAGGCTACAGTTCACTGTGCAACATCTGAAATTAGGTCATTGCTGTTCACTGAGCCTGTCTCTCAACGTCAGGTATTACTGAGAATTTATCATGTGCAATGAGAATTCACTGACAATTGATTGAGATTTCTTCCATATATACATATACTTTGCTATATTCTTCTTTATTGGACTAGAGCCCTTTATGTGACTAGCGAGGTCACAAAGGGACTCAGTGCCAAGTGCCCAGCTCAAAATAATATAATGCTTATTAATGTTGTTATTTAAGGCTGTCAGGAATAATAATACGTGTTTAAACAAAAATAATTTTTACTAAGATTTGATCAGCTGACAAGTCAAGAACAGTATTCATCTGTGTTCTAGTGCAATAATGAGCAATGACATATTTTAAAGACCTTTCAGTCAAACATTTTCACAACAATTATCTCTCACCTTACAGCCAAGATAAAATCTTTTATGAATGTCATCAGTGTTAGCTGTCAATATGTTAACTTTTAACCAATGACAGAGATTAAGTGCATGCATATGTAAAAAAAGAAAAAGATCAATAAGTTGAAAAACTATGTTTTTACATTGCTTTGACTCATCAAAATACGGTTAGCAGTTTTCAACTTTCGTTGAAATTACTTAAACATCTTAAAAATTTAAGGCTGCAACTTTTTTTTACAGTGTGTACGCTCTCAAAAGCACTACAACTTTAAACTGCAGAAACAACTTTTAGACATTAATAATAATAATAATAATAATAATTGTATAGCATTTTATAGGCTATTTTTATATTATTATTATATTTCCACTGTAAGTGGCTAACTACTTCTACAAGCAATTTACAGAAATGTACACTACGCCCTAGTGGTTAAAGAGTTTATTGAGCTCATTCATATTTTGTATTTTAGAAGAAATACAATTTTATATATGACTGGAAAAGTTGCACAGGTATAAAGAAGAAGCTTTAGAATGGCGGCTGGTGATGAACTAGGCCTATAGTTAAAGGAAAAAGAAGAAGAAGAAGAAGAAGAAGAAGAAGAAGAAGAAGAAGAAGAAGAAGAAGAAGAAGAAGAAGAAGAAGAAGAAGAAGAAGAAGAAGAAAACAATGCATTATTTCCATGTATTATGAATTAAATCAAGGAACACGCTCATTTGCCTTAATTTCGAGCAATAAGATGAATAGGTAACCTAGAGCAGGTATAAGTCACACAGCTGATTTAACGATGACGTAAGAGTTCCTAACAGCAACCTGGGGCTGCCTCTGAGTGACGTCAGCGACTAAACAACAACAAAATAAATATCAGCTGGCAGTGCGCGTGAGGAGCGGGGAGCGGGCTCGCGGTCGTTTGCTATGGCTAATCAGGGTGGATGCGACAGCCCGGATGCTTCAGAGGTGGAGCCGGTGGGCAAGAGCGCCGGCGGCGAGACTTCTTCCAGACCACTCAACTCAGGTGGAGGAGAGATGGCGGAGAAAGAGGAAGAGCAACCTTCCGGAGTCCGACACCCTGCAGGCAATTATCCGTGTCGAATATCAAAGCTGATTAACTGGAAAAGACCATTATGGACTTCCGCTTTCTTCGTAACTACAAATATAGCGTTTTGGTGAGGCACATGACGCAGCGTATTTTCATCATTCACATAGGCTATTTTTATTATATCACTTGAATACAGACTGCATGCATGCAAATATCGCATATTCTGATTTAAGACATCATGATGTTGGAGTTTAAAAAAAAGGTGCATTAATAAATATGGGTCAGTCTTTATCGCTTTCCAATGCACTATATTTAATCGAATTAAATCAGCAGTCCTAACAATGTTTTTGCTTAAGGCATTCTCCCTTGACCAGTTTCTCTGTATCTGTGTTTGCAATGAACTTGGCTACAGTTGCATTGCTGTAAGTAGCTAACAGTGCCCGTATTTTAGGCCTATCTTTTGTGCAATTGTTTCCTTTGCATAACATAAATAAAAATGAAAAACTTTTAAAATTTCAATTCAAAATTGCATTTGCATTTCCCTGCATGTACAAAAGCTGTCAATGCATACATTGCTTACATTAGATTTAAAGAAATCTTGTTGTGGAATGTGGATAAATAGCCTAGTGTATTTGGGTTAACATGACTTTATAAGTAGTAATTTGGTGTTCCTTATGGAATTAGTTTCACCTTCAAAGCACATGATTTTACATAAGAGACTTGTAAACAGAAATAATAACACGAGTGTGTACTGTGTACTATAATTGTTTAATGTTAGATTAACATTATAATTGTTTAACTTTAAAGGTATGATGACAAATATTAGATTTAGATCATCTCACAGCATTTATCTTTAAAAAAACAAGCACTATACACATACGTGATAGTTAGATATCTGTTGACTATAGCAGTGCATGTGTTTATAGATAGGAAACCTGTTTCTGTTTATTTTTCCATGCAGGTTTGTTTCCCTCAGTCCCTGTCGAATGTTCAGCCTTATCTCCATGTGTGTAGCTCTCTTAGTGATGATACAGCTAATGAGAGATGTGGCTCTTTCCAGATCAAGAGGTGTGGGTTTGTTTCTTCCCATAATGCTCTAACTTGTCACTTTACTCATAGGAATGGAAGCAAAATTCGACTGATGTTTATTTTTCTTCTTTATAGGAGCTGCTCTATGGAAGAGTATGACAAGCAGGTAAAGTTAGAGCATGCACACCTATAAATCAGCTAAAGAACGAGTTTCAAATTCTGACCTAATATACACAACTGTTCAAAGTTTTTCAATGTTTTTGAAAAAAGTCTCCTACACTCACCGTGGCTGCCTTTATTTGGTCAAAAATACAGTAAAAACAGAAATATTGCGAAATAGTATTATAAGTTAAAATAGCTGTTTTCTATTTTAATATATTTAAAAATAAAATTTCATATTTTTATTCCTGTAAAAGCCAAAGCTGAATTGTATGATCAATGTTGAAAAGCGTTATATTTATATTCTTCTGGAAACCCTGATACACATTTTCAGGATGTGTAATATGTACAGGATTCCTTCGAACAGAATGTTCAAAACAACAGCCTTTATTTTAAATTAATTTTGTAAGATTATAAATAACTTGATCAATTTAATGTGTCCTGAATATAAGTATTAATTAATTTTTTTGGTAACACATTACAATAAGGTTTAATTAGTTAACATGAACTAATAATGAACTGTCCTTCTACAGCATTTATTAATCTGTGTTAATTTCAACATTTACTAATACATTATTAAAATCAAAAGTTGTATTTGTTAACATTAGTTAATGCATTGTGAACTAACATGAACAAACAATGAACAGCTATATTTTTATTAACCTCTTTTTTTTTTAAATACTAACCCTAAACTTTTGAACCTCAGTGTACATAGTTTTTAGATTAACTATTAACTTGCATCTGAAATGGCACAAATGCACAAATTGGAGTGCATGTACAAGGTGTTTTTAAAAATGCCCCATTCATCAGCTACAGTCCAGCCTGTAACCACTAGAGGGTGTCCTATGACTCTTATTGGCATTATTGATGACATACAGCAATCCATTTAGCCTGTCATGTGAGCTTAGAAATGTCAGTGATATCCAGCGCTGTTGTGTGATCAAGACTTATTAAGAAATCTAACAAAGTACTCCTGACCCACTCGAAACGTAGCAACGCTCGACACTGTTGACCTTTTTCATATATGAGTTAGTTTGAAGAGTGTGCAAGTCAACAAACATTATGTACCGTAATCAATATTTTCATCAAATCTTTGCATATGAGAACATTGAAAAGTCAGCCTAAATTTGTTAAAGTGTTGGATTAGTGGAAGGCTTGATGAATTTATCCAATACTGCTTATCATTGGCCTTCGGCTTTCCATTATTTTAATCCGGGTTGCGCCATGCTGTACTCTGACCGGACTTGCTCTGTCATTGTTTGCATGCTTATGGTGAAAACAAATGCAATGGCACCATTGTGCTCCAGCGGGTGAGATGCCAGTGCAGTAATCATCAGTGTGGTGTTTATGTGAGGCGGGCCTCATTAAAACCTCGAGTACTTGACCAACAGCTGCTGGATTGCCTCAGCTTGTTCATTTCTGCCGGCTGCTGTTGATTTGAGTTCTGTTTCAACAGTTGCCTTCGCCCAGATCTTCACACTGATCTCTATATAGCTATATAGCCCCCAATAGCTATGGGATCAAAGCGCTTTATGTTGTGCTTCTGCTCTACTTTATGTATTTCTGTAAGAATTGATATGATCAATAAGTCATGACAAAATGTTTTTCAATTACTTTAACTCATCAAAATAACTTAACCTATTACAAACTCATTAAGTTATGCAACTTGGCAAGATTTTTAAAAAAGTTAGTTGAAATGACAGGCCAAATTGATACTTCAAAATTTAAGGCAGCAATTAGGGGGAACATTTTTACAGTGATGCATTTTCATAGACGTTAACGTGACATTTAAAGTGTGATGATTGTATTTTCACATTAAGAGCTTTAAGAAAAGTCTGTTATTTTTTGTCTTTTTATATTCCAACAGAAGTTTAGTAATATGAATTTAGTTACTTTTTGTTGTTGTTGCTATATTTTCACAGTGCAATAATTTGTACTAATATTTGTCATCTTCAGCTTTGTTTATCTGTATTGTGACGTATGCTCTAGTGCGGGTTGTTTTGTCCAGTGGTAGCACATGTCATGTTGTGAAACTTGAGTTTATGTTTCAGACTTTTGCGTGCCTGTGCGTGGCAAGTTGAGTAGAATGACACAGCCATTTGTGCATCCGGGAGTGATGGTAATCCTTTCTTGCATTTCCTCACCATTCTTATTGGGAGGAAATTGGAGTGTCCTAACCAATAAGCCAATCACATCACAGTATACTAACTAAAAAAGGGTGTGGTTAGAGACTCAGCTGCCCATTGGAGGAAGACGGTTATGAAGTGATGGTTACATTACTGTTATTAGCTGTTTGCTGACCAGTCACGTTGCTTTCATCACAGTCAAATGACCAACTAATAATAAGATCAATAAAGAAGTGATATGAATAATAAAAAAAGACTGTTACTATCTGTATATACAGGGGAGACAGGGCAAGTTTTTTACACTCCATTGAATATTTCTCTGGGAATGTTCATTTTTGAATTTTTGTACATACTGTATATTTTGAAGTCTTACAAAAAATTTTTTTTTGAACATATCCACCATTATTTACCATTATTTAAAAAGCTGGCCTGGTGGAACACAGCCTATTATAGGCTTTTCAGCAACAACAAAAAAAGTTATGAAAAGATGAAATGGCAAATGTTAAATGTACAAAGTTTTTGGCCAATAAATATTTTAATTAATAAATTGTATACCTTTCAAACACATGTGAATAATAGAAAGAGAGAAAAAAAAAAACATGACAACTTGCCCCAAATGGACATTTGTTAAAATTTCATTTTATACCATTTAAAACACATGTAAATAATGAACAAAAACAATAAAAGTGTGACCACCTGCCCCAAATGAATATTTATAGGGAAATATAATTAATTAATCAATTGTATAATTTTATACCAGTATATAGTATTTACATAACATGTAGTTCTATATTAATTTTCAATATAATTAATTCATAAATAAGATGATCATAAATCAATGGGAAGAACATATAGTTTTTGTGACGTCAAGAAGTAGCTTTCCAGTAAAAATGATACCCATGTACCTGTATGGAGATCATTTTTCAGTGTCATTCAAAATACTCTTTAGATGGTCTCATTCTGTGAAGAGGGGGTATTAAGGGGGTATTATGTGCAGTGTTTGTACATGTGTGTGTGTGTGTGTGTTCATGCCCCAGCGTTGTCTGGATGATGCCTGCTTGTGGAATGCTATGTCACTCTGGTATTTTTAGACCTGACTGGTTGAAATAGTGAAGCTCAGGCCTTGATCAACATAAACACTAGCTTGTGTGGCTTCATGCGACACTTCATTTGTGACTCTGTCTGAACTCTGGAACTTATCACTGACACACTCATCTTCTGACTTACCTTCTGAAGGCTTTTCATGTTGAAACCTAGAGCTTTTGAAATGACTGCTGAAGACCATGGATCAGCATTGAGGTAAAAAAAAAAAACTGTTTTGAAGAAACTGGTACAAACTAGACAGAGTGGTTGTTAACTTTGAATACTAAGCATTAGTGTTATGTGCATTATACTTGCTAGTCTTGTATATCTCTGATAACTTGAACAATATAGTTTGTCTTTTTTTTTAAAGTGTTAGACAAAAGTAAAGTAAAAAAGTAAAGTAATACTTGTCTTTGAAGAACCTTGCTTTAATCTTACTTTCATTGCACTTAGATGTGTCATGTTTCTGATATGAGCTTCTTCCGAATTTTTATAAATGTCAGTCATCATGTATCGGATGCATCAGGGGGTTGTGCAGTCTCCATGGCGACCCTTGTTTTGGAACATTTGCTAGGGGGAATTTCATGTTGATTGTCACAAGGACTGCAGAGGTATTGATACGTGCATGTATGCCACACAGCAATGGATCCTGTCAGTCATGTGTGATGAGGTTTAAGTGGACAGACCCACAGACAGGCTTAATAGCATTGTTAAAATACTGCAATTGGCAATGCCTGTGTTTCTGCTGCCCTTATTTTACAAATTAAGAGACACTGGATTTTAACTGCCATCCCTCAGCTGTTTGTTTTGGGCTATTTTAGTGCCCTGTCACTGGGCCTGTTTGAGTGTCAGACAAGTAGCTTTCTGTGTTGTTTTAGCGATTAGCATGGGAGTCAGCTAGTCCAGCGGTTTGGTTTTCAGAATCCAGAGTCACCTGTTGTTGGCATTTGCAGAGACATAGAGGCTTTTCTACACATTTTCTTTGGGTTTAAAAGATTTAAGACTCGCTTGAGACAGCAAATGTTAACATTTTTGGTTTTCACCTATAGCAACCTATTTAGCAACATATTTACCAGTGGCAAACATGCCATGCAGTATGATTTCAAATAGTGTTAACTATCAAACACCACATGGCGTCAGTCAACAACCAGATTTCTCGAAAGATGTAACAGAAGATGTTATCTTATGAAATGTCTTCACACTTTTACAAGTGGCATGTGAGTATTAGACCTCATTGATCTCCAGTCGTCAGCTCTGGTCTGGGTTGGGCAAGCCTGAGCTGCACTTTCTCTGGCACATTGGCTTGTATCTGCCACATGGTCGATGGTGAAATGCTAATGTGAGCTCTGTTGCCTCATAGTCACATGCACCCCACGCGCCCTGTTTAATAGGAAACCTCCGGTGGGGAAACATGTCTCTGCAATGTTGGAGGTGACAGGTTTATGACCTTTTGGAGGAAACACAGCTCGAGCTGATCTGTAGGAGGCAGCCTAATTGCTTGGGTTATAGCATATTTTTGCTAACATTTGGGGTTGATCAGTTTAAAAAGTTTCGACACATTTACCTACTCTAGGTGGCGTTGTTTGGTTTGTTTTGGTCATGGGAAATATAGAGCGTCAGCTGTGAGGGGACAAGAGTAAGGGCGCATAACCAGAGATTAAAGGCATTAAAGGGGTCATCAGATGCTAAATTTACTTTTATATGGTGTTTGCATATAAATGTGTCTTTGCAGTGTGTGGACACAACCACCCTACAATGAAAAAAATCCATTCACTCCTTTTTCTTTTTTTTTTTTATCCTCAAAAAGCCTAAACACTCTCAATAATCAAGCCGTTTGGATTTTCTGAGCAATATGATGTCATGTTGCTCATGCTCCGCCCACGACCACTGACGGACTGTCCTGTATTAGCATATTTCCGCCCTCAGCCATTTGTATACTGTCCGCCAAGGCTGCACTTTAAGTGTCTTGTGTCGACACACCCCACGGAAGAGAGGGGTGGGGTGAGCAGTTGCTCATTATCATTTAAAGAGACATGCACTGTGTTGATAGACTCTTATCTAGTTCCAAGAAATTCTCAGATGACCCGTTCTAAAAGTCATACTAATTCATTGAAAGCCAAATGTTTGACCAAAGAAATATTTGCTAGACTTTTTACCAGATGTTATTATTAGCTTTAAAGAATTTAAACCAACTCACCATAGGCTACCTGTAAACTTTCTATATAACGTCAAATGTGATTTAATGTCATCAAAGAGTCTAACTTTGACCCCAGCGGACTCAAAGAATCATTAATGTGTAAATAGTCATTTTTATGTGATTAATGATATGTTTGTTAATGTAAGCTGTCAGTTAAGGACCCATAAATCCATTAATATGTAATCATATATTTTTAGAAAATCAGAATCTATGAATGGCAACATAAGGTGAACCCTCAAACACGCAAAGCATTTCAATGTGCAATAATTCTCTCATATATAAATCAGTTTTTTTTTCAGGTCCACTCCATTTCAGATATCTCATGAACCCATTGTAGTTAAAAGTGAGAAGAATCCTTTTGTACATATCTGCAATCATCACTCAGACTGTGAACTATTTCACACATGCAGCGTTCACTCCAATAGTGCTAGATTCTGTCTTCAAAAGCATACCGCTGAATAGCTAATGTAATCTGTTTATTAAAGACCTGATTTTGTAAAATTGAGACATGGACTGTGATCTAATCAGTGTGGAAAAACTTATTTATGTCAAAACGTATGTCATCTTTATATGTTCAGATTGTGCAGTATCACACGTTTTTCATCTGATTGAGATGACTAAGCCTTAAGGACTAAGGTTTAAATTAATCTTTATTATTATTGTTGTTATTTAATAATTTCCATCTTCCAAAACATGAATTTAAACATTCTGTATAGGCATGTCATATTACATAGTTTCAGAGGTTGAGAGGCCACTACAAATATATATATATATATATATATTTGTGTATATGTATATTGCAGTATATATGCTTAACAGAAATGCAGTGATAATGAAAAGAAATGTAAATTGTTTAAATTATTTAATGAATGAATTAAGTGCTTTGTTCAGAAAGGGTCAGACTTTACTTTTGGTTCAGCATGAATGATCATCTATGTCACTGGTCTTTTAATTGTAGCTGGGAGGTCATTGATTCTGTCCAGGATGGCAAGTCTGGATCTGAATCTCCTTTCACAGACTTCTGGACAAGCCTCAAGCTGTTCATTGAGGAGACTTCCTCTTTTAAGCAGCAGAATCCAGGCAAGGTATGGATGGATTTGAGTAGATGACACATAACACATTCTTTTTTACAACCACATCAAGATTGTATAAATGTATAAGGAAAACTGTATCATCATGTAACAAGTCTCAGTTTCTTTTACATTTTCCCCATTTTGCCTTAATTTCTTTATTTTAATGGTCTTGGTTACAGTGGTCTTATAGTAATTAATATTAATAATGTTATGATTTAATATAAAATTTAATATTTATATTTTTTATACACTCAGAAAAAAATGTTTCAAAAGCTGTAACTGGTACTTGGTCAGTACCCTTTTAAAAAGGTTCCAATATGTACCATTTAGGTACTAATATGCACTCTTTGGGTACAAAGGGTACCACCCCAGTGACAGCTTTTGTACCTGTCATTTAAAAAAAAGTAATACTTACATTTTTCAAAGTATTCCATGTAGTATAGCATGTCACATCACATGTTATATTAACTTTCCATACATATTTCATGTCTATCCATTTGCAGTGAACTGAGACATTGTGAATTTGTGTGTCATTGCAGTTCTGTCTGCTGGTGTGCAGTATGTGTTCTTTTCTGGCAATACTTGGACGTTACATTCCAGGGGTTGTTATTTCATACATCTTAGGTAAGTGGTAAGTTAGAGCTGCCTACACACACAAAAAAGACAACCAATAGTTTTTTGTCCTACCTTTTCATTTAAGTTTATGTTCAAGTGATTGTAACCATGCGTCATGGCTAAGTAGAGCGGACCCTTTCCTGGATATACCTCCAGCACACCCGAGAACATCCAACAGTCTGTTTGTCATGTGATAGTGGATTCCTAGTAATGGAACCAGGACGACATTCTCTCTCAGTCTCTGGTTTCTCTTTCTTCCTAGCAGTCAGCAGGTTCATAAACACTGGTAAGTGTGACACCTACATTAATAGTTTGTACATCTGTTTGCTGCAGTGCTGGGCATTTTTCTCTGGCCTTTGGTGTCGTCACATGAGTTTGGGATGTGGTTGGAACCAGTTCTGCAGAAACTGGACTTTGGAGTGGGCGAGTTTCTTCAGAAAATCAAGGAGAATCATGGTTAGTCTCAAATACATTCATACACAAAATGTCTTTACATTTCTGAATTTTACATTATTTCCAGTAGAGCTCGTCACCACCAGCATATGCTGCCTCACAGGCATCTTAATTAGACTTTGTTTTACTAGAAAGGCTATAGCTCTGTTTCAAAACCTATGAGCCATGTAGCCGGCATCCTAACCTTCATGGAAAATGTTATTGTTAACTAAAATTAAAAGCTATTAAAATCATTTAATTATTGTTCATTTAAATAAAGCTGAAATAAAATATAAATATTAGATTAAAATCTTAAAAAACTTGATGATAAGTTGATCATAAAATTGGTAATGTTCCCTTGGCAACTAACTAAACTAAAATAAGTTGAAGTTCTAAAATCATTAATCCTAAAACTGAAATAAAAACAAATTAAAGCTATACATATAAATATTTAACAAGAACTCAAATGACAAAATATTAATAAATACTATTATAATCGTATTTATATAATACTAATATAACGCTGTATGGAAACTCATAAGTAACCGATTTGGATCATCTCCTTGCACCACAAATATAGCACTTGTTATAATTGAGTTCAATGGAGTTTGGCATTAGCATGTTGCTAAGCTAACAGAGCATTACACTAATAAACATATAAAACATAGCACAATATGTTTGTTTTTTCAACTACATAGGAGTATTTTATTGATTCTTTTCTGTTTAAATGAAATATTTATTTCAAGTAGTGCTGTGAAATTGATTATATACATATCATATATATATACACACACACACACACAAAAAAAAAAAAAAATATATATATATATAGTATATTGACAAACTTTTATGTGATAAATCATGATTAATCGATTTGTCAGCACTAATTTAAAGTCATTTCTGAATTGCATTTATCATATTACTTCCCTGCTCCAGAGAAAAGGATACTCCAGTCACAAGCCGAGAGAGAGAGCATTGAAGCAGATCTGTCCGCACTTTTCCCCAAGGTCAGTGCACTGTCACACCCATGCTTATCATGTGCCACTGAACACTCGGAGAGTTTCATGATATGGCAACGATATAATATACATAATTATGTCCATTTCCTGTCTATGTGTGAGCTGATATTGAGAGATCTATTACAGATGGACTCCACTGTGTGCAAAGAGCTGTCTATATCAGACACAGAGGTCTCTGAAGTAACGTGGACAGACAATGGCACTTTCAACCTTTCAGAGGGAAACACACCTCAGACAGAGAACTCTGAGGGTAAGCTCTCTTATCTTTTACAGAAATGTATGAAGTAAGGAACAATTGACGACGGGCCGTCAAATTATTCGAAAAATTAAGCACACCCAATGTGGTGAAGCGCAGTGGCCGTTACACCTCGGGTGTGCACCCGGACCCGGAGTCAATTATTCCGCTTATACTACCGTTACTACACCTCAAAACATTGTTCAGATTATGTATTTCAAGACATTTGTCTTAAAAACAGGTCCGGAAGAAGGCTGTGTTGCCGAAACGCGTAGATCTACTTTTAACTGGTTTTAATGATTTAGCCCAGTTCATTAAAGGCTGTTAACTTTACCACGTGAGTGCCTTGGAGTATTTCGTCGACATAATTTGATGTTTACCTCCAGTTCATCCAATGACCACCAGTGCTTATGTAAAGGCACCCGTGTAGCACTCTCTGCGTCTGTTTTCTGAAAAAAAAAAAATACAATATACTTCAAAAAATAATAAAATACAGTTATGTTAACTTATTAAATTATTAATAAATTATTATTAATAAAATGTAAGCCAGACCTCTAGTTTAGAAAGTCATTCTTCATGTGTTATAGCTGGTCTTTTAAGTATTATCTATTATACTGGTCTAATGAAATTATAACAATTTAATAGAATTTTGAATAGAATCACATTTAACTATGTTTTCGAGACGTTGAATATTGGATATTACACAAATTATGTTCCAGTGAATACATGCAAATTTCGATTTCAGCCTTGAGTTTTTCAAAATGTGATTGTTTTCTATATTATTTATTTGCTGTATTTCATACAGATTCAGACCCGCGAAGTGACGAGGAAGTCTTCGCCGGTGGACTACCAGAGTTTCCCTCCATGGACAATGGCTTGGTGACAAACGGAGAGGACGATGAAGACCTGAGCATTGGAATGCCCACCCCTCCAGCCCATCCCAGCAGGGTTGGGTCCACACAGTCAGAGGAAGAACCTGTGGTCCAGGCCCTGGAGGTTGTGCAGAGGCTGGCTGGAGAGGTAATTACGGCAGCTGTCACCGCGGCCATGCAGGAACGCCTGGAGGCGGCGGTAGCGCCTGCGCTGGTCCAGGCCCTGGAGGAGGAGTCAGACAGCGAGGCAGAGGACTTTGAGTTGTTGGACCAATCAGAGCTGGAACAGCTGGAAGGTGAACTGGGGCTGGACCAGGCGAGCCGTGCAGATCCGTCTAAACCTAGCCAACCTTCTTCAGGCTTACTGTCCAAACTACTGGGGCGCCACTGATCTTATTCAGAGGGGCGTCCGCTTCCCTCTGTGATGGGATGTGGGTGGGAGGATAAATGTCGGGTTTACAGGGCAAGGTCCAGAGTGATGAATGTATTCCATTGTTTAACTTTGCTGGCGTGATTCAGTTGTTTTGCTAAACAAAGTCAATCTTTGGAAGGGAGGTTAATTGTGTATTTCACGGGGAATGCGATAGTGGCTGGTTTTGGCGTAGCTCCATCTCAGTTGGTCATTTGAGGAAATTATTTTCACAATGTTTCCTGTCAACTTCCAACCCGCCAATGACCAGAGGGTTATGGACCAGAGTAATGTCATTAGTTTAGCTGTTAAAAGGCTGGTAGATGCAGGATACTCCATAATTTGCTGCCAAATATTTGTCTCTATTCAACTTAAAACGCTTCATGGCCAAAAAGAAAGGGCCTCCCACTAACTGACAATCAGGACAGCCCTTAAATGACAGAAACACCTTGAAGTGAAGTACACATGTGGTGAATATGTATTTTTATTTGAAATCTTTTGTTTTCTAATTTTCTTTTTTTATTGTATTTTTTTATGAAGGAGTTTTGAAAAGCCGGTGGTCTTAGTGTAATCCTTTGCATGGATTGGATAGTCATCGATTTGCACCTTTTTTTAGAGTGAACCAACTAGGCACTAGAGCACATAGTCATCAAAGTTGAACAGATTATGTTTTATATTCATATAAATATTCAACAAATAGTGCTTAAAGAGATGGTTTACCTAAAAATTAATATTCTGTCATCAGTGGTGTTTAATATTGCTTTGGACACCTTTGACTTTCATTTTATAGATAAAATCAATTGAAACATTCTTCAAAATATCTTCTTTTGTGTTCCACAAAAACTCATACAGGTTTGGAATGACATGAGGGTGAGTAAATAAGGATAATTTTTGGGTGAACTGTCTCTTTAATATACACAAAGAACCTTAACATTAATTTTCAGTCAAAATTAACATGGAAAATGTATTTAATCCCAAAGAACATTGTAGAGAGAAGACAATTGCACTTTTAGTCAATCATATAAATCAAATTGTCTCTTTGAGGATCATTATTTGTTTTCTGTGATAAGAAAGTTGTCTTTTGTCAATTTACCCATTATTCATAATTACCTTTTCATCAATGTAAGTACAGAGGCACATATAATCAAGACTGTTTCTGTTCACAGTGTGGTGCTTGGTGTGTATCTAAATTTAGTGTTTCTAACAAACTACTGATGTATTATGAGTTTTGTTTTGAGATGTATCAACCGCTTTCTATAGTAACGTAGCTTAATATGAATTTCTAGCCACTCACTATGACTGCTATCCAAAAATGACTCTAATCAGGTGTCAGTTTGATCATTTTTAAAAATTTTGATATTATTTATTCCTATATATATCTCTACTAGATAGCTGCCATCCACATATGATCGCCTTATATGCCTGTGCAAGTTTGTCTGTCAGAGCGGAAGAGAATAATCAAAATATAGATATAAACAATCTCAAGAATGTAATTAAAACCATCAGATTCAAAGATAGGGGTTTCTTTCTTTTTTTCTGAATGAGGTGGAGTGAAAAACGTCTGAAGTAACTTAGAAAAGATTCTAAATTGAGTCAAAAACATATAAAAGGGGGTGCGAATTTCACATTACAAATCTGGGACTTTTCCCCCTTCATATATATATTTTTGGAAAAACTATAATTATATAAATTAAATTACAATAATAAACACTAATGAGCTCAGACTTTTGTACCTCAGTGTATAGGTTATTGTCACCAAATGCATGATTAACCAGATAATAAATGTATTCTCTCTGGTATTTTCACTGTTTGCAGGTTTACCAGGTAAAGGGGAGGCACTGTCCTCCTCATAAATATGACACCAGGTGATTTACTCATACACCACCTGTAAAGCACGCCATCCATACATCACCCATCACCCTTTCCTCAAGTCGGCAGTACAAAATAAAGTAATGTTTCAATGATTTTGGCTTGGTAACTAACATCATGTGGGATTTCATAATGTGCTGTATACGCTACGAACAGCACAAAATTAAAGCATTTCATGATTAAAGCAGATAAAAAGAACAACACCAATGTTTTCAATTGCATTCATGATTTAGAGTAAACTAACACAGTGTCTGACTGAATGCAATATGAGTGACTGTATGGTTATAGCTAAACATACTGAAACGATTAAAAAGAACCTCTTCCATAATTTTGCGTCTGGTGGTCCTTTAAAGGTTCAGGCCCAGCAGGAGATGTTTTTACTACCACTGCATTTCTTTATGAAGTGAGTAGCTTAATGTGGTGTGATTTGTGTCTTAGGGGCAAAATAATAATCAAACAAGCCACAAAAAGTCGCTACACACATTAATTTATTCTAAATGTGAGAAAGAGAAACATAACAAAAGACTGACTGCACAGACAGGCCTACTTTTCTTATATCTATATCAATACAGATATGTTGCACAAACAGATTATTTGAATCGATTTAAATAAATATAGCAGGATCCAATGAAATTTTCACAAGTGGTTTACAATATGAAATTATACGCGACACATTTCTGGCATGTAAATTAAATGGCGCCATACATATAATTTTTGGCTATTTGTTTGGCTATTCGACCTTGGGTTCTTGAAAGGCGCTATAGAAAATAAACGTATTATTATTATTATTATTGTTTCTTTTCTTTTTCATGAAAACAAGCTTGAATTCTTTTGAGAAAGGTCTTTAGTTTTTCATAAAATGCTGTTTACAAATCGTGTTGCTGGCTTGGGAAATGCAAGGCAGAAATATAGTTATTTTACATATGGCTACATCTCAGTCAGAGAAACAACATGCATTTCCTCACATTGACTACAGACATGTGTTTGACAACCATAAACTGTCCACTGTTTTCAACAGTGTTTTTGCGGATATTGTTTTAGCATGTGAAATTGAGCTTGAAAAGTGTGTTTGTGATATGTTTTTTTTTTCTTTTAAATAAATGCTTTTTGGTTTGACATGGTATGATGGTACTATCTAATGCAATGACATTGTGCATTTTTAGGAGTGACTTGTGTAGCTAAATGCTTTTGGGAGCCATTATGTGTGGAGGGAAAGGAATAGTGCTCCTATAGTGGCCTTTAATAGTGGCCTTTAAGGCAAGGTGAGTTACCTGGGAAGAAGTGAAAACTGGCTTGTCTCAAGTCTTGTAAAACTCTACAGAGACATGCAGGTGAACTGAAAAAAAAAAAAAAAAAAAAAAAAAAAACTCAGAGTTTTATCACCTTGACCTACCTTGCATGCCACACTCATCCTGTCAGAAAAACATATTTCACTAAAGTTTGTGAAATTTCTGTAGATATTATGACAGCAAAGGGCAAGTTTTTTTTTTTTTTGTCTTCTAAGTGATTTTAAAGTCTTCTCTGGCGCCAGCTGTTCTAAAATTCTGAGCGGACGTCGCATTCTTCTACATGTGGTATGTTGAAATTATGAGGCCATATCATGTTTGTGTGCTCAGCTGCTTCCAGGTTGGATTGCAGGTTTATGTGCTATGTAAAACACCTGTTTTCAGCAAGCCTGAAGTTTAATTATATGTGTAACTGGACGTGCTGATCCGGCTCTCCCTTCATCGTGATAAATGGATCTTAGTGGACACCATTCAACATTCAATCGCATATACAGTAGGCCTATATTATACAGAGTTGTCATTTCTGAGTCAAAAGCAGCCACATTTTTGAGCTGTACTGAAGGAATCACTTGAAATGATATTTGACAGGCCATCATTCTGATCTATGTTCTGGTCATAAAAAGCAGTAATCTCTGATCTTTTATAGCTTTCTTTAACCTTATGGCCTTCAGTTGCCATTGGTTTCTTATGACGGTGGTCGACACTTTCTGCTTTTCCTGTGGAATCTTTAGTGAGTGTGAAGAAACTGCCAGATAACACCTTCAGAAAGCTGCTGACAGGAATCCGCTTGTTGTTTTTTAAACAGCAAAGGTCTGGTTCTTACATTATACAGTTTCTACTTCACCATATCTAGACTTTAGAAGTCTTCATTCCACTTAATGAGGAAGATGATGCAGGTGGTTTAACAATATTGTATACATGGTTCTATTCTAAAAAATGCTGAAAAATAATTAATGTAGGTTCAGAAGAAATTCTTCTACTAAACTCACCCGTACATATTTTTGCATATCTTTACAAATAGAGTGCTGACTTTGTCAAAGTTTTATGGTGACAAAATTACTAATGTGACAAACATGTATTATAATCGATTATCATTGTGCACTACAAAATAAAACAAAACACATGAAAACAATTAGGTAGAATTTGCATATTCTGCCGATTTCTGGTCCACAAAATGTATTTTTGTTGTTGTAACATTAGTAACAGGTTAGTCATATTAAATAATATTTTTGCCAAGAACAAAACTAATTTAGATGTTACCATAAAAGATAAACTGATCTACTGTATGTTGAATTATCTACATGAACTGGTTATGTATATGGCAGAATGGGGAAAAAATCGTCTCAGGTTACTACTGTAACCATAGTTCCCTGAGAAAGGGAACGAGACGATGCGTCATCGACGCTTTAGGAACGCCCCCAGCGTGAATGCGTCTGAGCATCAATGTCAACTAGTCCAATGGAAAGAATGAGCATCACGGGCGGGTGACGTCATGACCAGGAAGGCATAAGAGCACATCCGGTGAAACGCGCCATTAGCTTCAAAAAGTCGAAGCAAGCCGATCACAGGGATGCAGGAAGTATGGCAGGGTGACGCATCGCCTCGTTCCCTTTCTCAGGGAACTATGGTTACAGTAGTAACCTGAGACGTTCCCTTTCGAGGGAACTCGCGATGCGTCATCGACGCTTTGGGAACGAGAATACCCAAAACGCCAGAATTCCAAGTACCTGAGTGTCAGTCTGTTGGAACTAAGCACTAAGCACCTGAGAACCTGGGGCAGCATCCAGGTCCAAACTGTAAAACCTGACGAATGTGAGCGGTGAAGACCAGCCTGCCGCATCACAAACGTCTTGGAGAGAAACCCCAAATAACAAGGCTTTAGAGGCCGCCATACCCCTCGTAGAGTGAGCTCT